ATGATTGTGTTAAGCTAGCACTAAGTCCCTCCCCCGTCCAACCTTATTCTTTTCTTTACAATAAGGCTTTCAAATAAGTCATGGTTGTACGGCAGTGAAGCATCGGTGTTGAACATTGATGTCATGCTGTCGATGATGATGATGATATCGACTGTTGGAACATCGCATGGACCGTCTTAACGCCAAGTGGCAGACGACTGTATTCTTACAGGCCCCTGTGTGTGTTAACGGTCAATCGATATCAGAATTGCGGCACAAATTCGTTGTGTGTAATTTATTGTAACTGTCCCGAAATAGCTTTTTCGGCGAGTTTGCCAAGCTCACAAGTCAGGTAAACCGGTCAGTTATTCACTGGCAGTTTCATACTGCCATATTTGAAGGCCGGACTGATGATCACAGCCTTTCCGTAACAAAGAAGTTAAGCGCTCCTTGGAGAAATGTTACACTATATTGCCAACCGCCTCGCAATAAGGTAATCTGGCTTTTTCGATGCCTGGTCCAGGAGATGCAAGTGATAGAGGGCATCACTTTTCACGTTGTTTTGGTAGTTGAACGGAGCAGCACCGTGGGGGTTGATCGGTCCTGGTAGATGCATGATGTTCTGCGAAAACCACCGCCCTATCGGTCTATCCGTGTGGAGAGTGAACCCTGGGTATGCCACAGTTAATCCAAGTAGAATGACGTAAGTGTACGAACAGGCGTTTGGGAGATAATCCAGAATGGAACGCCAATTTCTCCTCAAAAACATGATACTTACAAACCTTCATCTTGGTACACTGATTTCGGATGTCTCTGTAGCGGCTGTATACCTGTCCAGTACTACTAAGGTGTCTGCACGCCAAATCTTGTCGTAAAACCTTCCAGTATTGAAATGGTAAGATCCTTTGGCGCGAGGAAACGGATTCCAGGGAGAAACAGCCAAGAACTACACTTGGTATTTTGCGTTCCCACAAAATGTTAACGTCTACTTAGTCTGACTTCAAAAACACCAAAGTTACATCTCTTTCATCCCAGGAGAGGAAATTTAGAAGTTCCCAATTTTGTCTCGGATTGCATGAGCGATGTCCCGCAGTTACAACTAAAAAAACCAGTATAGTCCTGCGGACTATACTGGATAGCATACAGTGCGGGGGATTCATTTTCTTTTCATGAGTGCTTTCTCCTTGGAACGAGGATTCAAGACATAAGTACATTTGTTGAATTAGTCTGCCTACGGTTTCCCATCGATTCTGGTTCCGCACCTCCAGTAATCCGGAAGCCGCTGCAGCTGGTCCTGCTGAGACTGATATTGTCCTAAGCCATCGAGGTGAAGGGCCTTTGTTTGAATGGTTGCTTATGGATAGCCGTCTGTGTCCGGCTCGTTTTGAAACATGAGAGTATCCAGTAAACATACGGATAGTCGGTTTCTGTACAGCATGCCTGCTGTACAGATAAAGACAGTTTTTACGACGCTTGAACTCCTTCTTCGAGCGGATATTGTTTTGGTTGCCAGAGAAATTAATATGCAAGTGGGCTGAGATTCAATCGGGTGGTCGTGTTGAACTGGAACCGGTACGCGCGGAACACGTGGACCTCACTCCGGAAGGCGAACAGCACCCAGTCCTCAAACTCCTCATGAAATCGTTCACAACCTTCTGCCACATCAAATTCTACGAACCTATAGGTTTTACCCAATCCGAATTAGGAACGAAAAACGGTGTTTCTCTTGGCAAGCAGTTGATCGGCATACCTAGCAGGCGGCCTAGCCACCTAGGCTAGGTACTGGATGCAGTCCTTGAGACGACTGCTCTGATTCACCAAAGACCCGTATTCTGACTACGTCACTCCAAATTCGCTGGTTTGAGCTGGTGTCAGTACCGGGACATCGATAATCGAAAACCTGAAGATTTCTCGGATTCTCCACCCGAAGTGACCAAGTTCTGCAGCCGTACAACTGGCCAGCCTCGACCTTCACATTGCGTTTATTTTATACGTGATGCAGCCCGCCACTGTGAACTACTATCTATCATAGTAAAGACTTATTAGTGCATATACCTTCTGAGTTATATTATGGACATCATCATGTGCACTTGCTGTTCTCGGATCCTTCTTCACGCGCTTTCGTGAAACTTCGCAAAATGAGCTGTATTGAGTCCAGTTATGACGCGGACAGAGGTAATTTCTTTGTGACTGTCAGAATCACTCGAGCACGCCCTCCTCGCTCGGGAAAACGGGCACCGGTACGACAGCCCGGTTAACTGGGACGGACTCGATCCTGTGTATAAATCCGTGACTTTCACGCAGATAAGGGGAAACAAGTTAGACAAGCACGAAAGAGCATTTCACCCCCACCTTGGAAAATAAGTGGAGAGACTTCGTCACGACCAGTAATACAGTGACGCCTCAGGGGCGCTGGTCGGAATTCCACTGCGATAACGGTCTACCGATCGCAGTCAAGCGCTGCCACTGCCAAGAAAACTATCCCGTACGCGATTGGCCAAAAAATCGGCCCACCGGCCATCGAGGCGACCTCTGATTGGTCTCGATCGGCAGCCAATCATGATCTAGTACCGTCGATCGCCGGTTGGCAGTTGCCCGACCAGATTGCGTCGGAATTTTTGGATGCTGTCGTTTCATACACTTTATATACGACTTGCTGTGCATGTGTTCATGATCTGGCTTGACCGGTGGTTTTTCGGGGAACGCCAGTTTGGGTGTTTCAGACTGGGAACTAAGCTGAGAAAACATCGTTGTTACGGTTGGTGGGAACGAACACAAGTTGTGTATCGAATTCGATCGGCTCTGTCAACTATTGCAATATCAAAAAGCAGTTTGAAAAAGCTCCACTTAAGCTCACTTGAGCACTGACTCAGAGAATGCATACCGAAATGATAGCAGCCAGCACCAACCAGCAATCTCTAATTAGATGAATTGGCCGCACCCCAAACCACGGAGTTCACGTTCGACTCACTTTCCATTTCACCCCTGGTTACAGTGGTACGAAAAAGTGTTTAAAGCGATTTTTCGAAGTTCCGTGACGGACTGGAAGTCATGATTGCTGTGAGAATTCCGCACGACGGATTAACAACGGTATACAGATTTCATTCTCCCAAAACTGCCCCGCGAACTCACCTTTAACGAAACAATCAAAATGTTTTCCCAGGTATTTAATGATCGAACATCACTTTTCGATATCGGTTTTTAATTTCTCCATCTGAACCAGAAAACGTGATGATTTAATCACGTCGCCCGCATTGTTAGCCGGGCATTTCAAACTTAGCTCAATGACGGGGAACAAGTTCCCTGACCTCGCTTTTGTAACCGGCCTCTAAGATAAATACATCAGCGCCCAGCTGATCAGCAGAATAGAAAAGAGTGCCGAAATGACGTTGTAGAGCCTCACAACCGAATGTTAACATCCCATCATTTTGAAGCTACATCAGGCATCAGGACTCGCATTCAACTCCGACGTCCTAGCGAAGATAAAAAACAAGTTCGTTCAAAAACACAGCAGCCCCCTCGCATGTTTTTAGAACTGCGGTGGCTGGTGTTTCACTCATCAGTGACGGCCATTCGTCGTAAACGTTCCAGCTAAAAACATCGGGGCCGCTAACATGAACGTCAGTCTCAAATGCCCCAGTCACTAGCGAACCATCGGGTAACTCACAAACGGTAGCCACTTCAACTGCGGCAAACTTCAAGGTTGAGTTTGCTTGTCAAAGGGCGTTATTCGCGGTTCATATTACCACAGTCCAAGTCCATCCTCAGCTCGACTTGAGCTCCGACATCATGCAACTCAATGAACGAACGTGGAAACGGATTGGTAAGTCGCATGCAGATCCAAGTGAACATTGGGAGCATAATGCTATTGGCAGCACACCAAAATAGACTGCCGAGTTCGACCGCTCCATAAGCTTCACTGGATGGACGGTACAAGCCGCGTGCCGTCGTCGTGCCCCACACTGGATCCCGTGGGACTGGATTGTGCTGATAAGGAGAATCTTCTGGAAAAGATGAATAATACTTTTTGCAATCTCAAGTTCGCAGAATCTGAGAGTTCGCCGGTATAAATTGAATTTCTGATGCACAATAAGACGTTATTTGTGTACGGATACTTAAATTTTGTTGTTCATGATTGAAGTGCTTGTTAAGAGGAAGAAGTGATTTTATTTGGGGTTTTTGTTGCCGATTAATTGGAGTAAAACCACAACGGAGGTGAACCTTAGTACATTTCCGGCTCAGGTTATGTGGCACGGTCACTGACGAACTTCAGAGTTGCAAGAACATGGTCTTTTTATTCGGAGGTGAGGGTTATGAGAAATGGGTCAGATCCAACAGGACCTTTGCGATTAAACCCGTTCTCGGTCATCAAATTCAACTGAAATTGGAGTGGGAAAGGGAGTTTTTCCCGACTTAACCGCCGGCGAATCGCACGATTTCTACAGGCCGCGTTGCGTATGTTTTCGAACAAATCAATGATATTCAAGGCGTTCACTAACGAAGACGTATAAATACATAGTCATTAGGGAGGCATTCATGGTGCTTGCACAGTTTGTGTGGGGAAAAAACTC